TACAACCATCCTTTAAGGTCGTATACAGGAAGGAACCCCAAAGAAGGTTAAAACAAAGTAGAACACTGAAGCAAGTCTTGAAATATTTCAAGAAAAAATTACTTTCAGTTTGCAGTTTTAGGGAAGAAATATTCAAAATAATTCTGGCAATACACAAAGCTTTGCATGAACTGGCCCCTGGCCACCCCTCCCATCTAATATTGGCCACTGTTCCTTTCCTTACTAGGTTCCAGCCACCCTGGTCACCCTCCTCTCCTACCTCTGTGCACATGACTTGCTGATCCTTCTCCAGGGACATGCTTTCTCTTTATGTGTTCCCAGCTGGCTCCCTCAGGTGATCCAGCCCTGTGTTCCTGGGACCCCGCCTTGGTGCCATCTTCCCTGACCTCCATCCAAAATAGCACTGCTCTGCCGTCACGTTAGCCCCATCTTGCTTTATGTTCCTCTCTGCATTTATCACGCTAATATCAAGTTATAAATATAAATTTTGACATCTTGTTCACCATGGATTTTTTGCTTTGATTTTTATTTCTTCAAAATAATCACGTCAAAATATTATTTATACACAGTGTTTTGGGCACTGCCTTCTATTTTGCATTCCAGAAGAGCACCTCTCCTACCTCCTGCCTGTTTTTTTTTTTGTTTTTTTTTTTAATCTCCCATGACTGGTAAGAAAGCACCATGCTCCAGAGCCTTTGTTCTGTTTCCTGCAGCATCTCTAGCAATCAGCAAAGGCCTGGACAAACAGGAGGTAGGTACTCAACGACTATTTGAGAAATGAATGAATGAAAGGAGAAGGGCATTTGCAAGTAGCTTTGATTCACCTCCTTATAAGTGCACATACAAATAGGCAACTTTCTGGGAGCTGGGTTGCATGCACAGGGAAAACATAAACATTTTTTTTAAATGTTTATAAAAAACATAGTTGCCACCAAACCACAAACACACCTTCCCACCACTTGTCGAACTAACTGGAGGATCTCCAACATGGGCTCTTCACCACTTCCAGCCTTCTGATAAAATTTGACTTAGTTGAGGTCAAGTTGCTACCACCACACTACCCACCATTTCCTCTTCCTTCCTTGAGAGGAAACCGTATAGAATTCTGGGCATTAAGCAAAATACTAAGCAAAAAGTTACCAAAAGCTAAAAAATTGTGTTTAATTTTATTTGAATTTTTTTTCAGAAGTGATCATCTTATTAATCAGTGGAAATTCACCCTGGAAACACTCTGTTTAAAAAAAAAAACAGAAAGGAAACACATTTAGCTAACAGCAGCATTTTTCATTATTTTACATGCAGTGGTTTTGTACTTTATTGACAAAGGTCTTCAATTTGGATTCATCTCAAAAAAAAAAAGGACTTTCGTTACCTATGAGAACACTATGAAACCCTCAGTTGTGAAGGACTAAGTTGAAGAATGTAAAGCATTAGAAATGCTTTAGTGGCAATGTACTAATCATGTAATAAATATGTGCCACTGTTATTAATATGTGTAAAACATGATTTTATCCACTGCAATAAAAATTTATGTTTGCCTCCTCTAATAATCCCTCCTCTTTTTTATTTTCTGTTTTTTGAGATGAAGTCATACTCTGTCACGCAGACTGGAGTGCAGTGGTGTGATCATGGCTCACTGCAGCCTCGAATTCCTGAGCTCAAGTGATCCTCCCACTGTAGCCTCCCAAGTAGCTGAGACTACAGGTGTGTACTATCAGGCCCAGCTAATCTTTTGGTATTTTTTGTAGAGACAGCATCTTGCTTTGTTGCCCAGGCTGCTCTCAAACTCCTGTGCTCAAGCAACCCTCCTGCCCTGCCTCAGCCTCTCAAAGTGCTGGGATTTCAGGCATGAGCCACCAAGTCTGGCCTAATCCCTCCTTCTTGCAAATATTCCTGGCTTTTTTTTTTTTTTTTAATTTTTTATTGGATTTTAGGTTTTGAGGTACATGAGCAGAGCATGCAAGACAGTTGCGTAGGTACACACATGGCAGTGTGCTTTGCTTTTCTTCTCCCCTTCACCCACATTTGGCATTTCTCCCCAGGCTATCCCTCCCCACTTCCCCCTCCCACTGGCCCTCCCCTTTTCCCCCCAATAGACCCCAGTGTTTAGTACTCCCCTTTCTGTGTCCATGTGTCCTCATTTTTCATCACCCACCTATGAGTGAGAATATGCGGTGTTTCATTTTCTGTTCTTGTGTCAGTTTGCTGAGGATGATGTTCTCCAGATTCATCCATGTCCCTCTCCGCGGACACAACGAGAGCTCCAATCCTGGGTTGTTCTCACAGCGCCATCTTGAGTCCCCCCGATCTATTCCTGGCTTTTGTTAGGGGATCCTGTCAGGACACAGTTCTCCACAGGTCTCTTGCCTTTCTGCACATTTCAGAGCAGTGCCACCAATGGCATTTTGTTATGAACCATCTTTTAAAGGATGTTGTTTAACCGTCTTCCAGCAGCCTTGGAAGAGAGAGATAATGTCTCCCTCCAGAGCAGAGGGCAGGTTTGTTTGGTATGTGATATATTAAAAATGAGGGCTAGGCACAATGGCTCACACCTGTAATCACAGCAGTTTTGCAGGCTGAGGCAAGAAAATTGCTTGAACCCAGGAGTTTGAGGCTACAGTGAGTTATGTTTGCACCACTGTATTCCAGTCTGGGTGATGGAGTGACACCCTGTTTATATACATATAAGTGTGTGTGTGTGTCTAAATATATATAGGTGAGATATATGTCACATATATAACATCTGTATTACGTATCTAGCATCTGTATTGCATGTCTGTAACATATATTACCTATGTAGTAGAGAGATGATGTCTCCCTCTGAGGCAAAGCCTGGTCAAATTTGCTTAGAGCCCATTATAAAAGATTGGGGATTTCTATGCTAAGGTTCCTTGGCTTTGACACAAACCTATGTGTGCAGCATCCACCTGAGCCCACCACTGCATCACCCCCTGGGACTTGGGGGACATGGGAAATGATGTGAAGGTGAAACAAAGTTGCTTGCAATGTCATGAAAAAGAGTCCTTTGTCCCCATACACAGAAGAATGAACACTGCAGGCCTGACAAATATCCTTGTGAAGACCAGTCTGCAAGGTTGATCTTCAGTTGGTGCATGGGAACTTGGATTTTGGGAGGGTTCCCACCATTGCCAGAATTTATAAGAATGGCTCATTGGGCCTAAACTGTCTGTACAAACTGTGATTCATGCTGAACACCTGCTTTCCTTCTGGGAGCCTGGAAAGTTGGTAGGTGCCAGGAAGAGGCTTCCTACCTGATCAGTCCCCAGTAAAACCTGGCTGCTGAGGCTCTCATAAGCTTTCCTGGTTGACAACATTTCACACATGTCACAATTGTTGCTGGGGTGAATTAAGCATGTCCTGCGTGACTTCTCGGGAGAAAACTCTTGGAAGCTTGTGCCTGGTCTCCCCTAGATTTCACCCCAGGTACCTCTTCCCCTTGCTGATTTCACTTTGCATCTGTTCACTGTAATAAGTCCCAGCTGTGAGTATGACTCTGTTCTGAGTCCTGTGAGTTTTCCTAGTGACTCATTGCCTGGCAGTGGTCTTGGGACCACTGACATTGTCTCTGATCCCAGAATCTCATGTCTTCTGTCAGCATCCATGAAATGGTGACAGGCTAACTTGTTAATTTCAAGGATGAAACCTCAGGCCCATCACAGTGCTTGAAAGAGCAATCCTATTACCTCTCAGGACATATGGGAGAGTGTGTGTGGGGTGGGTGGGAATTCCAGATCTAACTTAACATGGGTGTTCCATGCCCTGCTTATCATGGAGCTTTCAGGAGCATGCACCTGATTGAAGCCAATCCAAGCTGAATCATGGCCTTTTCTTCTCCTCTGTCCATTAATCAAGAAGAGTGTAACCTGGGAAAACCACCTCACAATCATGGGAGTTAACCCAGAGAAAGTGGGACCGAGAAACTGGTCCTGGATGACACTATTGGAGCCCCTGAAACAAGCCAGCCTTGCGACCAGTTTGCCCCTGGATGATTTTAAGATATATGAGCTAATGAATTTCCTTTATTGCTTAAGATAGATTGGACATAATTTTCTATCCTTGGTAAGAGGAGTCCTGCCCAGGCGCAATGGTTCATGCCTGTAATCCCAGCACTTTGGGAGGCCAAGGCAGGAGGATCATGAGGCCGAGATCAAGACCATCCTGGCCAACGTGGTGAAACCCCATCTCTGCTAAAAATACAAAAACTAGCTGGGTATGGTGGTGCATGCCTGTGGTCCCAGCTACTTGGGAGGTTGAGGCAGGAGAATCACTTGAACCTGGGAGGTGGAGGTTGTAGTGAGCCAAGATCATGCCACTACACTCCAGCCTGGCGACAGAGCAAGACTCTGTCTCAAAAGAAAAAAAAAGAGGAGTCCTAACGGATGCAGATCATGGCTGTTCAAAAAACAGGCCCCTGGAGGGCCTCTCGATCCAATTGTAGTGAACCAAGCCTCACAAAGATGGGATCATTCTTTGTGAGGACCCTGAGACTACCTCAATAAAAATCACCAACCTCCAGCAGTCAACATTTTAGAAGTGCCTACCAAAGTAACAGTAGCAGGAGTTGGACTTGGTATCATTTCAGGTGACTTACAGCCGGAGATCCTCTTCCAGGCTGCAGAGGTGTTTATGTGTCTAGGGGACCCAGACCTTCACTTAAAATGAAGTGATGATATAACCATGGCCACAGGAGCTGAGGACTTGGCTACAGGGAGAGGAAGAGGAGGTGGTTTGAGTTGAGGGGAGCTCCATGCCATTTCTGTGTCTGTGTCCACGCCACGCCTTCCTGTCTGCACCACCAAAGGTGATGGTTTTGTTTTCTAGCACAATCTGGTGCCTACGAACTTGCCTCTGCTGCATCTCCCTGCAGACTTCAGGGAGAAGCACTGGAATGACAAAAGGCAACACTGGAGGCTTTACTTGGGTGACACAGACCAAAGACTTTTCCATTAAAAAAAAAAAAAAGAATACTGCAAATGATGTTTAAAGTCATGATTATATTTAATAGTATTAGGGTGGTTCAAAAGCAATCGCAGTTTTGGCCATTACTTTCCATGGCCAAAACCACAATTGCTTTTGCACCAACCAACATAAATTGTAACAGATTTGAGACAAAATATAAAATTTTTCAAATTGAGCAGTAGAATTTATCAATACAGAATCTGTACTATATGAAATAAATTAATAGAGAACCCAACAGATCACGTTATGTTGCAAATATATATATCTTTAACTAGGTTAAAGTAACATAGCAAAAATATATATTTATGGGTACAAGACACATACATAATTTGTACCAATCTCACAGAATTAATTCAATTCAAAACAACAACAAAAAAACTTACTGTATTTTCTAATGGATGCAACAAAAATTAACCATTTGAAAATAAGTTCTCTTGTGCTTCCCCTACTTACTTTTTTCCTGATACCTCCTATACTATGTATGTGTTTCTTCTGCACTTTACTGTCTGACTCCCACTAGATTGTAAGTTCCAAGAGGGCAAGGCCTCTGATACACTGCTATGTCTCTAGCACCTGGAACTTGGCACGTAGTGGGCATCCAATAAATAAGGTTAAATGAGTGAATTTAAAACACACACACGTCGGGCATGGTGGCTCACGCCTATAATCCCAGCACTTTGGGAGGCTGAGGCGGGTGGATCACCTGAGGTCACGAGTTCCAGACCAGCCTGGCTAACATGGTGAAACTCCATCTCTATTAAAAATATAAAAATTAGCTCTTCCTTTCTCTGCCATCATGGTGTGTGTTTGACTTCACTTCTCACCATGTCTTCTTACCAAGACTTTCAGGATTAAATGATTCCTGACCAAGAAACAAAGTAAAATTGCCCTACTCCCCAGTGGATTCAGATGAAAACTGGTCATAAAATCAGGTACAACTCCAAAAGGAGACATTGGAGAAGAACCCAGCTGGGCCTATAGGAATTGCACATGAGATGGCACACAGGTTTATGCTGGTTGAGGGTCACGATCATGTTACCATATCAAGCTGAAAATATCACCACTACCTGGAGAGTTAGACATGTTTTATTGGGAATATATTTTTTCTGAGTCTGGTATGAACACATTGGTTGGCTGGGTTCAATAATAAATGTGTGAGACTTTTCATTTAAAAAAAATACAAAAATTAGCTGGGTGTGGGGTCACACACCTGTAGTCCCAGCTACTTGGGAGGCTGAGACAGGAGAATTGCTTCAACCCAGAAGGTGGAGGTTGCAGTGAGCCGAGATCGGGCCACTGCACTCCAGCCTGTATTATAGAGCATGACTCCATCTCAAAACAAACAAAATAATGCACACATTTAATCAATATAAAATATTATTTCCACAATGTCACTTCAAGCTAATACTGCATACTCCACATGTGCTAAACCTCACAAGGTCTTTACCTCATTCCTGACTCTCTTTCCTGACCCCCTGTGGGGTCAGTCAATGCCCTGGGGTTGCTTAGGCACTTGGTCCTACCAGCTTTGGGCACCCGGTCTGTTTCAGCTCATCAGTGTCTGTCCTGGCTGGCTTTTCCCATAGAACAGAGTTGCACAGCTGTGGGTGTGACGCTACAGAGGAGGAAGGGAGGTAGAATGTCCTCATCCCAATGTTCCTCTGAACTGCCGCGTGTGTTGCTCCAGCTTCTCGGCCTCCGCCTGGAGGTGCCCCAGTGCTGCAGGGCTGGGGTACTGGAGCACCGCATTCTTAGTGGCCAGCGCTACATCCTTGAGCAGGCTGCAGAGGTGACTGCTGCTGTGGAGGATCTCATTGCGCACGTCTCTCTCCTGAGTTTCCTTGCACAGCGTGTCCACCAGCTTCTGTCCCACCATGATGACCAGCTTGCTCTGAGTGATCAGGATATCTGGGGGCTGGCTGCTGCCGAGGCTGCTGAGAAATGCGCTGATGGCTTTGAAGAGCGCCCCAAAGTAGAGCCGGCAGTGTTCAGACAGGTGGGGTTTCTTCTCAGGAGTCTGTTGACTCAAAGTCTGGGGTAGAAGAGAGCCAGGATTCTAAAGAAGGGAGGGAGAAAATAGACAAGAGATTTGATCAATGGGCTGTGGCTGTCTGCCCTTTCCTGTTAGGGCTGGATTTGCAAGACTGCTTATTTTTTTTAAAAAAAGCATGGTTTTGTTTGGGAAGCCCAATACTGCAGCAGTGATCTAACAAATTAATGTTGATGTTTTCAGAGCACTGTAACATATAAAATATATAAACATATCATATTATATAATATATTCATATATAATTTCAGTCAATCACCTCAATAAACCAGCCATAAGAAATGCATTTTAAGAAACACATTGGCAATAACTATATTTATAACTTTTTTTTTTGAGACAGTCTTGCTCTGTCTCCCAGGCTGGAGTGCAGTAGTGCAGTCTCAGCTTACTGCAACTTCTACCTTCTGGGTTCAAGCGATTATCCTGCATCAGCCTCCTGAGTAGCTGGGATTACAGGCACCCACGACCACACCTCACTAATTTTTGTATTTTAACTAGAGATGGGGTTTCACCATGTTGGCCAGGCTGGTTTCAAACTCCTGACCTCAAATGATCCACCCACCTCAGCCTCCTAAAGTGCTGGGATTACCAGTGTGAGCCACTGTGCCCAGCTAAATTTATAAATTTAACAATGCAGGAAAACTTGTTGGTGAGATTTAAAATTTTCTCAAAGAACAGATTTTAAAACGTTTAAAAATCCTCTCTGGTTTCAATATAGAGGTATACCAGAATCCTCAAAATTTCTAGAAGAAATCAAATATCCTGACCTATCTGCCTTAATATTATTTTTTATTTTTTGCCTTAATATTAAAATATTTATTTTTCTAATAAAGTTTCATCAAAATTTTACATCATGAATTTTATTTTCTGGTAAATAGAATCAACATCTCCCCAAATCCTATATACTCTCGAAAGATTTCAGTATCTACCTTAGTGGCCACAACTCCAGGTAGCAATTGAAAGGTGAAGCTTAGAGTAGAAAACAGGCTGCCTCGGGCCATTCCATTAGCAAATTAGAGATATGGAGCTCTATGTTTGAAACTCACTTTCTTTTCATTAAATTTCACACGCTCGCATTTACTTATTATCCCAGAATCCACACCCTGGAAGCATTCAGACACATAGGATATAGAACTGATTTTTTCAGAAGGGGAGTATGTTTCCAGGGGCTGGAGGGGAATTAGACAAGGAGGAGAAAGGTATACTTCGAAGAAGCACATTCATCATTAGAACTGCATATTTGGAAAATGAAAACAATGATTGTCTTTGTCATTGAAAATGAAGGAAAGATTGAAATGTCAGTTCAGATGGACTCTTTGGAAGCAGGGAGTATAAGAATGAAGCAGGTCGGGTGCAGTGACCCACATCTGTAATTCCAGCACTGTGGGAGGCCGAGGCAGGAGGATCACTTAACTTGAGGAGTTCACAACTAGCTTTGGCAACATGTGAAGCTCTGTCTCTACCAAAAACGAAACAAAAATTAGCCAGGTATGGTGGTATGAGCCTGTAGTCCCAGCTACGCAGGAGCCTGAGGTGGGTTCACTTGAACCTGGGAGGTGGAAGCTGCAATGAACCATAATCTTGCCACTGCACTCCAGCCTGGGAAACACAGCAAAACCCTGCCTCAAAGGAAAAACAAAAAGGCAGGGGGCGCAGTGACTCATGCCTGTAATCCCAGCACTTTGGGAGGCTGAGGTGGGAGGGTTACTCGAGGTCAGGAGTTCAAGACGAGCCTTGCCAACATGGTGAAACCCTGTCTCTACTAAAAATACAAAAATTAGCCAGTTGTGGTGGCATGCATCTGTAGTCTCAGCTGCTTGGGAGGCTGAGGCAGGAGAATCACTTGAACCTGTGAGGCAGAGGTTGCAATTAGCCGAGATCACACCACTGCACTTGCACCTGGGTGAGAGTGAGACTCCATCTTAAAAAAAAAAAAAAAAAAAAAAAAAAAGAGCTTAGAAATAATGAGAAGTAATGAGGTAGAGGTAGACATCAGATAATGATCATTTTAAGTGAAAATATATTAACTGTAGGTAGGTTAAAAATGTGCTACGATTCTTAACTTGGGGTGCTGGAAATGCGTGGAGATAGTTTTGGTTATCATATTGACTAGGGACTTCTGTAGGCAGTAAGTGGGCAAGTTCTGGGATGCTGAACAGTTCATCCCATGCAATGGAGAACTGTCCAGCCAATGGTCAACGGTGCCCCAGGCTGCCACTGAGAAGTGCTGTCACTCTGAAGTGGGGGCTTTCTAAGTGTGGTCCTTTGACCGGAAGCATCAATATCGCCTGCAAACTTGCTAGAAATGCACATTATTATGTTCCACCCCAGACCTACTAGATCAAAAACTCTGAGAGTGAGGCCCAGCCATGTGAGTTTGTTTGTTTTCTTGAGATCGTGTCTTGCTCTTGTTACCCAGGCTGGAGTGCAATCATGCAATCTTGGCTCACTGCAACCTCCGTTCCCAGGTTCAAGCAATTCTCCTGTCTCAGCCTTCTGAGCAGCTGGGATTACAGGCTCCCGCCACCATGTCCAGCGAATTTTTCATATTTTTAGTAGAGATGGGGCTTCACCATGTTGGCCAGGCTGGTCTCAAACTCGTAACCTCAGGTGATCCACCCGCCTCAGCCTCCAAAGTGCTGGGATTATAGGCACGAGCCACGGCACCCAGCCAGCCATGTGAGTTTTAACAAACGTCATAGGTGATTGTGAGACATTCAAGTTTGAGAACCACTAGTCTAAGGCATATTTAATGTGGAACAAAATAGCATGACTGTCAGCAATATGGCAGGCCCAAAGACTAGTGTTTGGAGAGCTGAGCGTCAAGAGACCTGGGTTCTTGTCCTAGTTTGCCTCCGAGAAGGTACAGGACCTCATCCTAATCATTCGCCATCTCTTTGCTTTCCTTCCACCCTCTATGGCATCTGCCTTATAACCTAGGTAAGTTTCCCAAGCTTCAGTTATTCAGAGACAATCCTTACAACCTTTACAAGTTGTACTCTTTCCACCTTCCTCTTAACCTCCACTGGCTTCATTCCTTTGCTTTAAATGGACCCATTTTTTTTTTAACTTACATTAATTTAAAGGAAACTCTTAAAAATAATAAATGGAAAACTACTGTCATTTACCACAAATAGAAGGAAACCAATAAAAATAAGCACAATGATAACATCTCTGATTTTTTTTTTTTGGGAAAAAAAAAAAAAGGAAGAACATCAAGTGTCAAAGAGGTGCTGGGGATATACAAGCCCCAAATGAAGATTTGCTGTTGTAATCAGAAACATTGAAACAGAATGTCAAAGAGGACATGAGTCAGTCCTGTTCAGCCCTGTCAGTGCCACCCACAGCAGCCCTGCAGAGCACCTAGAGTCATTTCGCTAATCGCTAATGCTTCACTTTCCATTCCCTGGGGTTTGTTCATCAGACTCAGTGGTCTCTAGCATTCTCTTGCTAAAATAAAGGACAAAGAATCACAAAAACGAACTTTCGCCCATGTGGATCACGGCTGCCATGCTGAGCTATCTGTAGCATGATGAGACATATCTAGCAATAAAGTGCATGAACCAGAAGTTTTAGAGTGAGTGCGATAGCTTACCGTGACTCCCAAGTCTTTGCTTTCATCTGACCTTTGTTCCAAGATAGGTTTCTCTTTCTCTTCTAAGTTAGGCAAAGTCTGAAAAAGAAAATCCCTTCAAATTACCAAAGTGAGTGGTTTTTTACACTACTATGTAACTGTTTAAGTTCGCTTTAAGACTTGAGCATTCTTTCTCACATTTTCTGTTGATGGTTCTGCCTACTGATTCCTTTTCTCAACCAAAGGAGACTTTGGGAGCCCAAAGGCTGAATTTTGCCTATCAACATGGCCTGATATAATGACCCACACAGCTTTGTTTCAAGTTATATATATGTGTATGTAAATTTTAAACATCCAGATTCCTAGAATGTGTTAAAGCTCCTACACCACCAGGCATTTCAGCAGAACGCAAAGGTCGGGGCTTAAAGCAGGAAATTATCTCCTTGACACAGTCCCCAAGTGACTGGTGGGCCTCTTAAGGCTTATAATCCCTGAACTAAGGCATCTCATTCTATAATGTCTGAACTCATCCAGAAAAGTCTTTTTTTTTTTTTTTTTTTCCTTGAGACAAAGTCTTGCTCTGTTGTCCAGGCTAGAGGGCAGTGATGCAGTCTTGGCTCACTGCAACCTCCGCCCCCTAGATTCAAGCAATCTCCTGCCTCAGCCTCCAGAGTAGCTGGGATTAGAGGTGTGTACCACCACACCCAGTTAATTTTTGTATTTTTAGTTGAGATGGGGTTTCACCATGTTGGCCAGGCTGGTCTCAAACTCCTGACCTCAAGTGATCTGCTTGCCTCAACATCCCAAAGTGCTGGGTTTAGAGGTGTGAGCCACCACACCCCACCTCTTTCTTATTTTTTTCTTTTCTTTTTTTAGAGGCAAGCTCTCCCTCTCTCACCCAGGCTGGAGTGCAGTGGCACCATCACAGCTCACTGTAACCACAAATTCATGGTCTCAAGGGATCCCCTGACTCATCCTCCCAAGTGCATGAGCCACCACACCTGGATATTTAAAAAAAATTTTTTTGTACAGCTGGGATCTTACTATGTTGCCCAGACTGGTCTCACCTGCCTCAAGGGATCCTCCGGCACTGGTCTCCCAAAGTGTTGGAATTACAGGCATGAGCCACCACACCCAGTCTCAGAAAAGTATTTCTAAGAGGAGCTAAAGTCTGGAGGCTGATCAGACCACGAGCAATTTGAAAGAATGTTTCTACTTCCTCTTCCGTTGCTAAGAAACACACTGACAATGACTCAATTTATAACTTTCAAAAATGCAAGGAGTCTTGGTGGTGAGGTTTTAAAAATCTACTCATGGAACAGATTTTTACGAAATTTAAAAAATCCTTTTTAATTCTAATATCACGGTAAACTTTAACCCCAAAAGTTTTCAGAAGGAATCCAAATAAACTGACCTATCTGCCTATGCTGACCTATCTTTGTCTGACTTGTTAATAAGATTTCATCAAGAATTTTACTTTCATAAATTTTATTTTATAGAAAATGGAATGAGCGTCTCCCCAAAGCCTACACATTCTCAAAAGAGTCTCAGCATCTTAGTGGCAACTAATCCCGGTAAAAATTGAAGTCCCTTTTTCGATCACTTGGAACTCTGAACTCACCTGTCCACAGATATTTGCTCTATTTTTCTTTAATAGTTCAGAAGAGTGTTCATCTTCCCTTTGCTTAGTGGAAAGGGTACTGTTTTGGTATGATTCAGTTTCTCTTTGGGGAGGTTGGATACATTTTTTACACTTAAATTCTGCATTTGGGGTCAATTGAACAGTCTCATCGTTCTGCTTAAAAAGGAGCCTTCCATTGGCAATGACAATGGAGGCAAACCTCTTGATGTCTTCTGGAAGCATCCGTGCCACCATGACAAACCTCTCAAGGTCATCTGGGCTGTTCTGGACATTGTCAGTCACAAGAACTTCCAGAGGCCAATGGCGATTGTCCAAGCTTTCCTTTGTTTCAAGCAGGATGCGGTAGGAGTTGGAGATTGTCTGCATCTGGTCACGAATTCTGTTCTGAAGGTGACTGCCAGTGAGGTTACAGGCAGTCCCATGGACTCCTTGGGCAAAATCCAGAAATTCTCTTACAGATTCTTCTATGTGATCAGTGGCCCTGTGGATTGCATCAATATTGGCCTCCAGATAGTCTCGGAATCTCCACTTCCTACTGACAAAGAGCATCAGGCCAGCGACAGAGCTGACCACCTTGTGCTGCAGAGCCATCACTGTCTCCTTGGCCACGTCCAGGTCCAAGAAGAGCTCCTTTGCTGACTCCTCTGAGGAGGAGCTGGAGGAGGAGTCAGTGGATGTGGTGGAGCATGAAGAAACGACGCTAGCTCTGCTGTCAGAACTGGAAACTGATAATCTCTTGGGTTCTGGAGATAGGGAAGTTGTCCGCCTGGAGAACCATGAGGAATCATGGCCTGTGGAATTCTCTGACACCTCATTTATTTTCGTCAGTTCCTTCCCAGCCGGAAACACACTGGACATTGCTTTAGGGATGTCATAAATGTTGGGCTTGGTGTTCTGCTGTTCCACTCGGGGCATCAGAAAGCTTGAAGGAACCTTGTAGCTGACATCTGTATCCAAAGGAAATGTGTCTCTGGGTGCGAGAAAGCCATAGGAAGGAATTTCTGGAACACTGAGTTTTTTCTGCATAAGCACCCTGTTGTTCAGTTGTGGAGTGAGGGACCTGGCTCTGCCACTAGGAGGATTATGGAAAGTAGAGCTGGAACTGGGGACAATGTGGGGCCCTGATTCTTCCGCAAAGCTGGTGAGAGACATGTTTCTGATGCTGGTCTTTCCTGGAGTGTCATAAATCCATTCTGATTTCTGAGGATTTGGTAATGTGCTGTAGCCACCTCTTCTTAAGGTAGTCGGTGATAACTGGGGAACACCCTGAGCCTGTGGAAGAACCACAAACAGTGGTCCGGGTTAGTAGCTTTCAAATGAGGGTGTTAATGCCTTGTTTAAATCTCATCATCACTCCCCTACTCAAGTTCCTTCAGTGGCTCCCCATTTCCGTTACCACTCAAGGTCCTTCACAATTCTTTTGAGCCTCGTTTCTTTCCATTTCCACCACGCCGACCCACCTCGTCTGCCATAACCGGCTTACGGGTCCAGCCACCCAAGCTACTTACTTTGCCCTGAACTCAGAAAACTGACTCATGCCCCTGTATTTCATTTTGCCCAAACTGGTTCCTCTGCTCTGAATGCCCTTGCAACCCTTTCTTTTCCATCCACCAAACTCCTATGCATCCCCCCGACACGGCTGAGATGCCAGCCTTCTTGTAAGATATTCCCTAATGACCTTGGGTGTAAGTGTGTCTGTGGGACACATGGTAGAATCATATTATAAACACGGATTACACAGATTTCAAATAAAGCCGTTTCCCCAGTACAGATAAAAGTGTACTGTATCACAGCATGTCCCTGAGGTCTGGCATGATAAGAAGCCATTATATAACTTTTGTTCTGTGCCAGGCACTGTCCTGGGTTCTTTGCAGGATTACCTCACTTAATACTCCCAACCCATAAAAACAGAGATGTTAAATGACATATCCCAAACCACATAATTAGTCCTATTCCTAAACACAAGCACAATGAGAGGTTTTACCTCAAATGCAATAGGTCTCTGTTATGAGGAATTTGCATTCTAATTTTTGACCAATCTAATAATATATTTAAAAAATTTTTGTATTTTAGTAGAGACAGAGTTTCACCATGTTGGCCAGGCTGGTCTTGAACTCCTGACCTCAAGTGATCTGCCCACCTCAGCCTTTCAAAGTGCTAAGATTACAGGTGCCCACCACCACACCTAGCCAATATTTGTTTTTTGTTTTTTTTTTTTTTGAGATGGAGTTTTGCTCTTGTTACCCAGGCTGGAGTGTGCGATGGCGTGATCTCAGCTCACCGCAACCTCCACCTCCTGGGTTCAGGCAATTCTCCTGCCTCAGCCTCCTGAGTAGCTGGGATTACAGGCACGCGCCACCGTGCCCAGCTAATTTTTTGTATTTTTAGTAGAGACGGGGTTTCACCATGTTGACCAGGATGGTCTCGATCTCTTGACCTCGTGATCCACCCGCCTCAGCCTCCCAAAGTGCCAGGATTACAGGCCTGAGCCACCGTGCCCGGCCTAATTTTTTGTATTTTTAGTAGAGACGGGGTTTCATCATGTTGACCAGGATGGTCTCGATCTCTTGACCTCGTGATCCACCCGCCTCGGCCTCCCAAAGTGCTGGGATTACAGGCGTGAGCTACCACGCCCAGCCCCAATATTTGTATTTTTATAGAGATGGGGTTTCACCATTTTGGCCAGGCTGGTCTCGAACTCCTGACCTCAGGTGATCCACTTGCCTCAGCCTCCCAAAGTCCTGGGATTACAGGCTTTAGCCACCATACCTGGCTCCAAGCTAATAACATTTCTGAGAGGATTTTTGTTGCTTGTAACACTGCACCTGAGCACCTTCTTGTACTTACACTTGCTTGGCCGGTGGGGGGATGGAGTCCTGCCTTCTTGGGGCTGGCTGGTATGTCATATAACTGCCGCTTCTCTGGCTCCTGGGAGAGACCACAAATGCAGACAACTTGAATGTTTCTTTCCTAGTGGCTATACATCACGAACTCTCCCGATATGAGTGATTTTTCCAAAGGAAGACACAAATTCCTGAAGACGTTTTGGTGCTCTTGGTCATGGTACTGTAACGGTGGAAATCTAGGTGAGGGGTCTCCCACCTTCCTTGTTTAGGGCAGTGCAGGGGATGTTACAGTCCCAAGTTTTTCTCGTAACAGTGTATACATTAAACAATGGACTTTATGCTTTAAAAAGAGACTTCTCAACCAAAGGTGGAGGGGGAGTGGACAACAGAGCATCAACTGCAGTTGCTGAAGTTAAAAAGGGTAGTTTGTCTTCTTTGAGTTCGTCCCCCTCCCTTTTGTTTGAGACAGAGTCTTGCTCTGTCACCCAGGCTGGAGTGCAGTGGTGCAATCCCGGCTCACGGCAACCTCTACCTCCCAGGTTCAAGTGATTCTCCTGCCTCAGTCTCCCGAGTAGCTGAGATTATAGGCACGCACCGCCACACCCAGCTAATTTTTTGTATTTTTAGTGGAAGTGGGGTTTCACTATCTTGGCCAGGTTGGTCTTGAACTCCTGATCTCAAGTGATCTGCCCCCACTTGGCCTCCCAAAGTGCTGGGATTATAGGCGTGAGCCACCCCACCACCGCACCCAGCTGAGTTCATCTTAAAACTAAGTCAGAGGATAAATGAGATTGAGATCTAATATGTCTGTTTTCTGTCTTGTTTTTCTCAGTAGAAATTTTCCTGTGTTTATCAGTCATAACTATTCTGCAAATATTTAATGCGTGCCTACTAATGACCAGACATTTTATTGCTCTCATGATGTGCCGGATGACACTACACATCATGAGAGTAATAAAAACAGGGTGTGAGCGACTCATTTGATAAATGTATGTCTTACCATGGACCGAAGTGCCAGGCACTGTGCTTCTTTTTTTTAAACAGGGTCTCACTCTGTCACCCAGGCTGGAGTGCAGTGGTGCAATCTCGGCTCACTGCAACCTCTGCCTCCCAGGTTCAAGTGATTCTCTTGCCTCAGCCTCCTGAGTAGCTGAGATTACAGGTGTGTGCCACCGAGCCCAGTTAATTTTTGTATTTTTAGTTGAGACGGGGTTTCAACATCTTGGCCAGGCTGGTCTCGAACTCCTGACCTCATGATCCACCCACCTTGGCCTCCCAAAATGCTGGGATTACAGGCGTGAGCCACCATGCCCAGCCAGTACAGTGCTTCTTAGAAATCTGATTGTCAGGCTGGGTATAGTGGCTAAAAAATATAAAATATATATTTTATATAATATAATTATATATATTATAGATTATATTTATATTATTATGTTATATTATATATATTATATTACATATAATATAAATATAATAATAATGTAATGTATACAATAATTTAAAAACATATATATTAGGATACAAAAAACAGGTGACAATTTCCAAAGCAAGGCAAGAGAGCACCAAAACAGGTTTTGCAAAGAAAGAGAGAAACAGCTGGACGTTGGAAGGGGCTTCTTTAGAGAAAGTTGGGCTGTGAGTCTCCTGAGGGTTCTCCTCAGCTGGGAAATGGGGTGGGGTGCAGCAGGGTTGCCTTTCACTCTCCAAAAGCAAACCATCAAATGCTCCCATGGGTCATTCAGTGACTTGAGTTGTGTCCCCTGAGCTTGGGATTACAGTGGATGGGGGCTGACTCTCTTGGGAAAGGTGAAAAGAGAGAGGCTGAGGACAAAATGCAGAGTGGCACCTTTCTGTGATGGCCAGTTCTCAGGCCAGGACCCAGGGAGGAGAGCAAAGCACTTGACATGGGCATGGCATTAAGAGGGCATCTAAAAACTCGGTCACCAAGGTAAATACTATTTTAAATGCAATATTTAAGAAAATCATCATGCAAAAAAATCGTGGTGAACAACAGGTCAGACTTTTACATAAAGACAGGATCTAGTGGGGCTGGGTTTAGAGCAAGGTGAGTGAAGTGAGTTGTATAAGTGTGTTTTCATTGATAACTTTTGCGCCCACAGCAAGTGCCTGTGCTCCTGGAGTCTATCATGGCAAAGAGGGTTTGTGTGTTTGTCATGGACCAGGCATGGATCTCACGAGCTGGAGCAAGAGCCAGGGAGGAATGGCTCAGGGACTCTCAGGAGGGTGTGGCTGGAGATGACCTGCCTGCCCCAGAGCTAAGGGAGGAGCCACCAGCCAGAGGAGATGCATTTGTCCATCTGGAGGGACTTGGAGATAAAGATGCTCAGCAAGGAGGTGAGGGGTAGGAGGTGGGGTCAGAGGACATGCCACTTACAGGAATGCCCAGAAGGGAAAGAATCCACTTGCCCCACCAGCCACTGCTTTAGCAGCCTAACAGAACTGGGGCCTTTCTCCCTCACACCCCTTTCCCTGCCTGCCTCTTGCAGCCCTGCAGGAGTCTGAGACCACCCAGTGAGTGAGAAGAGATAGAAACTTGAGATGGTGAACCAGCAGAGAACCCAGACAATTCCTGGAGCAAGCAGGCCAACCCAGGCAGCAGGAGCTTTGGCTTTAAATGAACTAGAAAGTTTGATTGTGGCTTGGACAAGTAAATTCCTCAACTGAGCCTGAGGAGGCTAAAGTGACTTTTAAAAAATTTTTTTAATTTTTATTTTTTTTCAGACAGAGTCTTGTTCTGTCAACCTGGCTAGAGTGCAGTGGTGCGATCTTGGCTCACTGCAACCTCCACTTCCCGGGTTCAAGTTATTCTCCTGCCTCAGCCTCCCTAGTAGCTGGAACTACCGGCGTGCACCACCATGCCCAGCTAATTTTTGTATTTTTAGTAGAGACGGGGTTTCTCCATGTTGGCCTGGCTGGTCTCGAACTCCTGACCTCAGGTGATCCTCTTGCCTTGGCCTCCCAAAGTGCTGGGATTACAGGAGATGCCACGCCTGGCCTAAAGTGACTTGTTACCTGTGAGTGACCAAGAAGTCACAGAGCCTGCTTGGAATTTTATTTAGGCTGGAACTGTGGTTGTCAAGCCTGGCTTGTACAGTAGAATCACCTGAAAGCTTTTTTTTTTTTTTCTTTTTTTTGAGACGGAGTTTCGCTCTTATTACCCAGGCTGCAGTGCAATGGTGCAATCTCGGCTCACCACAACTTCTGTCTCCCGGGTTCAGGCAATTCTCCCGCCTCAGCCTCCTGAGTAGCTGGGATTACAGGCACGTGCCACCATGCCCAGCTAATTTTTTGTATTTTTAGTGGAGACGGGGTTTCACCATGTTGACCAGGATGGTCTCGATCTCTCGTGATCCACCCGCCTTGGCCTCCCAAAGTGCTGGGATTACAGGCTTGAGCCACAGCGCCCGGCCTACCTGAGAGCTTTTAAACATCCTGCTGTGTGGGCCCCACCTAGACCTGATTCAGTCTCTGGACTTGGGACACAGGCACCAGGATGGGTAACGCTCTTAGATGCTTTCGCATACAACAGAAGTTAGGAGCTACTGATCTGGGCAGGGAGAACGCCACCGCAGAGTGGTTTCTTCTGGGCTAAGAAGCAAAGCTTTTTTTTTTTTTTTTTTTTTTTTGAGACGGAGTTTCGCTCTTGTTACCCAGGCTGGAGTGCAATGGCGCGATCTCGGCTCACGGCAACCTCCACCTCCTGGTTTCAGGCAATTCTCCTGCGTCAGCCTCCTGAGTAGCTGGGATTACAGACACGTGCCACCATGCCCAGCTAATTTTTTGTATTTTTTGTAGAGATGGGGTTTCACCATGTTGACCAGGATGGTCTCGATCACTTGACCTCGTGATCCACCTGCCTCGGCCTCCCAAAGTGCTGGGATTACAGCAAAGCTATTTTTTGATCACATGAAGCATGTCTTGCACATTTGATGTTCCATTCCACTTACATACAAGCAAGTTAAAAAAGAAACAACTAAAATTTCTTCCCCCAGAGATAATGTTGAGATAATCAGTGATAATCCACGTTGAGACTGTGGTGCACATCCTTCAAAATATTATTTTTAAAAATATGTGTGTGTAGCCCAGGTGAGGTGGCTCATGCCTGTAATCCCAGCACTTTGGGAGGCCGAGGTGGGCAGATCGAGAGGTCAAAAGATTGAGACCATCCTGGCCAACATGGTGAAACCCCGGCTCTACTAAAAAAATACAAAAATTAGCTGGGCGTGGTGGCACACGCCTGTGGTCTCAGCTACTCGGGAGGCTGAGGCAGAAGAATTGCTTGAACCCAGGAAGTGGAGGTTGCAGTGAGCCGAGATTGCGCCACTGCACTCCAGCCTGGCTACAGAGCAAGACTCTGTCTCACACACACACACGCAAAGTGTGTGTATATGTGTATGCACACACACACACATATATTAAATATCTATTATAAATGATAGCTGGGTGTGGTGGCTTACGCCTGTAATCCCAACACTTTGGGAGGCTGAGATGGGAGGATGGCTTGAGGCTAGGAGTTCAAGACTAGCCTGGTCAACATAGCAAGACTCCATCTCAAAGAGAAAAAGAAAAAAAAAATCTATTCTATATGAAAAGTAAAAATTTCAAAATATTCAGAACTCAAGTAGTCATAATATTTTCCAGAGCAGGCCTGGGCTCCAAGGTAAAAAGTTTTTAAAGCTGGCCTCTGAGTGGTGATGTGTATTCTGGAGGCTGAGAGGACTGAGCCCCTGGCCTCTCCAATGCTGAAATGCAATGTGGGCATGATGCCAAGAACCCCAGACTCTGGACGCAGAAGTCTGGGTGGTGCAGGGTCCCTGAACAAGACTCACCTTCAGGGCCCCGGGGCCCCAGTGCTGGGTAGGCACATCATATACCTGGGAAGGCAGAGTAGGCAGCGAGGCTCGGGCAGGTCTGGGAAGTGTGAGGATGGCCTTGGAGAGAAAGGAGGAGAGCAGAGGGAAAGGAAATGTCACTCTGATGATCACAATCGGGTTCAAAGTCGTCTCTCCAAAAGCAGACAGCTGGGTGGGCACACTGAGGGTGTCACCGAGCACCCCTGATGCAGGCTTTTCACTCTCAAGACTGAGAACATCAGGGTGCAGGTGGGAGGCTCCTGGTGGAGGCAGCCTGCCTCATGGGGGGCCCAGGTGTCCTACATCTGCCTCACCTGGGAAGTTCACCTGAGGCAGGTTAACATGCAGATTCCCGGGCCCACGCTGGTTGGATGGAGTCTCTGGGTATTGAGGGGGGCATGGGAACCGGCACTGTTAACAAGCTTGCCAGGTGATTCTAATGTTCTCTAGGGACAAGGAGGCTGTGACTCTGATACTGGGTTATTCATCTACATTCATCTAGCTGGGCCAAGGCTGTAGATGTGCACGCGACAGGCAGAGGGACTGTAAGGACGCGAGGTGGGGGACTAACAAGGTGTGGGAGGAAGCCGAGGCCTGGGAGCGCAGGACTCGCCACCTGAGCTGAGACAGGGACGCAGAAGGTGAGCAGATGAACTGCAGCTGGCAGCTTTTGCTGGCAGCAGTGAGAGGCAGAAGAGAACTTGGCCATGTGAAAGTGATGGAGAGGAGTGACGGGGGAGGAGAAGGAGAGAGGGAGTGGGAAAGGTTAACAGACCAGTCAGTTAAGGAGTTTGCATTTTATCCTACAAACGGTGGGATTGAGAATCTGATTTATATTTGATTGAGCGCACTTGGCCAGTTATTGCTCAAGCCATTTTGGGAAACGTGGTCTCAGCCATGGAGCCTGGGTCTGTGCATAGGAACTTCAGATTCAACTTAATCCTTTAGAGCTCAATGTTGTCGGCTCAGTGGTGGGTACCACACTGGTTGCCACAGAGCAGCTTCTGAACCCAGCCAGGGATCCGAGTCACCTAGAAAACTTTAAAAGAATACAGCTGCTGGCCAGGTGCAGTGGCTCACACATGTAATCCCAGTACTTTGGGAGGACGAGGTGGGTGGATCACGAGGTCAAGAGGTCAAGACCATCCTGGCCAACGTGGTGAAACCCCCGTCTCTACTAAAAACACAAAAAAGTTAGCTGGAGGTGGTGGCGTGCGCCTGTAATCCCAGCTACTCGGGAGGCTGAGGCAGGAGAATTGCTTGAACCCGGGAGGCAGAGGTTGTAGTGAGCCAAGATCCTGCCACTGCACTCTAGCCTGGTGACAGAGTGGAGACTCTGTCTCAAAAAAAAAAAAAAAAAAAAAGAATACAGCTGCCAAGACTCTCATTCAGACCTCCTGAACTAGAACATCTCCAGGAGGGGCCGAGGAATGGGCGATTTCTTCTGGAGTAGAGGATGCTGTCTGCCGGGAGCTTACCGTTTAAGAGGGAAATGAGGTCTGAGCACACCAAGGACACAGGCTGGGAAGCAACACAGGACCCGGAAGAGATGACAAGGTGATGCTCTGGAGTCTCGGACAGGGAGAATGTATTTCCCACCGGGGTCCCAAGGAGCTGTCGCTGAGTAGGGGGCTTTCCAAGTAGGCTCAGGGGCTGGTTAGGGTTTCAATATGCAGAGTGGGGAGGTATGGGAGGGAAATGCAGGTGGAGGGACAGTTTCTGAGGACTGCTCAGTTTCCCTCCAACCATCACGGTGTCCCCAGGATGCAGCACTGGGAATGGCATGTGGTACGTGCGAGGTTTATCTGTTGGTTTTTGGTGAACGGATGTGCACAGCTTGGATGGTAAACATTAGCACACAGTGTAAAAATCTGCCCCACCATTCATCTGGCTAGACTCAAGGACGCAGATAAAGCAGCTGCAATGCAAACAGGATGAACATTTCTTCCAAGGACATGCTGCAGCTGTCACATGTCAAAACAGCCCGCTTCATTGAGTGATGACTGCTTTCTTATTCCCTGAGAAACTTGGTTCTCTAAAATCCTAGGCTCTCGAAACACAGCTCTTCAAAGTGCTATCAGTAAGAATGAAACATCCTACTCCTGCGTGGGGGATCTGAGTCATTGACAGAGAAGCAGCCTCGATCCCCAGGTCCTCATGTGGTACTTTGGACAGGGGTTTCCGGGCCTAGCACTCCCCTCTATCTCCGATTAGTGGTTCCCAAGGAGAGGGCGGCCACGTCCAGCCTGCATGCTGCCCTGTTTTGCACAGAGCCTATGAAGGCACAGCTTGGCTTAGATTTTGCCTAAACCCCACCTTTCCCCATCTCATCCTTACGCTGCCTTTTCCTGTTTGTGAGCTGCCCCGTGATTCCTCTGCTCTGCCATCTTCCTCTCTACATTTAATAAATTGATTTTGTTCTTGGTGGTCTCAGGCTGATTGGTCTAGGTGGACAAGCCCATCAGTGGTTTCCCATTACATTTTGAATGAAATGAAATCCAAGTTTTGTTTCTGTTATTTTTTTTTTTGGAGACAGAGTCTTGCTCTGCCACTCAGGCTGGAGTATAATGGTGCCATCTTGGCTCACTGCAACCTCTGCCTCCTGGGTTCAAGTGATTCTGCTGCCTCAGCTTCCTGAGTAGCTGGGATTACAGGTGCCTGCCACCACATCCTACTACTTTTTTGTATTTTTAGTAGAGACGGAATTTCACCATTTTGGCCAGGATGGTTTCCGTCTGCCTTGGCCTCCCAATGTGCAAAGATTACAGGCATGAGCCACTGTGTCGGGCCAGAAATCCAAGCTTTTCACCAGCCCAGACAGCCTACGTACCAGCCATGCCCAGGGACCTTGAGTGAGTGTCTCTGACCATTGGCTGTCATGTCTGTTTCTCCTCCCTCCCAGCTTATTCGAACACACCAAGCTTTCTCCTACCGCAGTCCCTTTCCAAACGCTGTCCCAAGGCCGTTTCCTCCCCTGTGACTTCAGGCCCTTTTTATTCTGATGGCTGACTATGGGGTCTGCTATGCCTATAGGTGCTCTTATAAGAGCACCTCTGCAGAGCAAAGGGACTTTCCTGGGTATGACATTTCAGATGGAAGGAAGCCAGCTCAAAAATGCCCAGTGCTTCTTGGAAAATGTAGGTCCAGTGTGGTGATCAGTTAAGGAACATGTTTGAGAAACACGGTTTCGAAAGGTTTAGGGAGATGGAAGGAAACTCCAGTTTAGGAAATAGTGGTCCAAGAGCAATTTCACCAGGAAATCTGGCCCTTTTCTCTTGAATACCAAAGAGGCCCTTCTGAATATAAACTGAAATCAAATATGTTCTTTATGTGTGTGGTTTTTTAAAATTAAGCCAGCACATTATAGGAAGTTGGAATAAAAAGTAAAACAAAGCTCCAGATAGTGGTCACCCTGGTGGGGAAGTGGCAGAGAGAAGGCACTGGGGGCTTCTGGTCTGCTAGCTTTGTTGTTTCTTGGTCTGGATATAAGTTACTGAGCTGTTACTTAGCATCTGTAGGTGAGATTTCAATAAAGTGTTCATTGGAAAGAATGGTGTCAGCCAGAGAGTCAGGTGAAAGAAGATCAAGGAATAAGGGCTCTGTTTTGGGGGTGATGGAGGTCATGCTTCATCAGCTGTGTGACTCTGCATGAGCCATTTCACCTCCCTGGGAATTAATGTCCTCATCTGTAAAATGAAGACTTGTTCTAATCTAAAGATATGCAGAGATCTTGTCCAGCTATAGAGATGTCTGATTCTGACACATAGACGCCTCTCTTAGGACAGCTTAAGAAAAATGACATATTTATACGTTGATGAACGTTAATTTCGGGCCGCTCTTAGCATACAGACTGTCAACACAGATTTAAAAAACAGTCCATGAAATGACTGGCAAAGGCTGTGTTCCAAGCCTGTGAAGTCGCCATGGGCAAACAGTTCTAACTGTTGTGTGTGCCCGCAGTCCCAGCTACTCAGGAGACTGAGGCAGGAGGACCCTTTGAAGCCGGGAAGCGGAGGTTGCAGTAAGCTGAGATCACGCCACTGCACTCTAGCCTGGGCGACAAGAGCAAAACTGCATCTCAAAAAACAAAATATTTTTTAATTTCTTGCCTACTTTGTGCTTGGGGTCTCTTAGCAAGAGATGTGGTCTGTGACTTACAAGCCAGGAAAGCCATCTCACTTGGTTTCTGGGACAGCTAGAAGAACTCAGAAGAGCAGTTAACAATCAGTTAAGGATTTTCTGATCCACAGAAAAGGCAGGCATCTCCTCCCTGCCCTGTCATCTAGCCATTAGCCCTGAGGCTAAAACTGCCCAGAAACTACATTTCAAATGGTAGAACAGGTAGCTCTGAGCCACTAGTTTGGTGGCTCATGCCTGTAATCCCAGCACTTTGGGAGGCCAACATGGACGGATCACCTGAGGTCAGGAGTTTGAGACCAGCCTGGGCAACATGGCAAACCCTGTCTCTACTAAAAATACAAAAAAAAAAAAAAAAAAAAAAAAAAAAATTAGCCAGGCCTGGTGGCAGGAGCCTGTAATCCCAGCTACTTGGGAGGCTGAGGCATCAGAATCTCTGGAACCCAGGAGGCAGAGGTTACAGTGCTACTACACTCCAGCCTGGGTGACAGAGCGAGACTCCGGGTCCAAAAAAAAAAAGTAAATAAATAGAGAAGGAAGGGAGCAAATGTGTAACTTATAGGTAGGGCAGACATGGAGGGAGCTTAAGGAAGGGAAACAGGGCAGGAAACTCCCCCCGGTGTTTTACTGTGGCCACCTCAAGAACCCTGGTCAGTGGTTAAAGGGACCCCCCTGAATTTCCTTGTGGTTTCTGTTGTTAGCCGCAGCCTGCACAAGCAAGGGCTCAAATTGTTGATGTGCTTAACATCAAGGACATATCTCATTGCTAATGCCCTGATCAGTTTTCAAAGTTAAATTTCAATAGTAAACCCATCTTTCCTTTCACACAAATGTCAATCTAGCAGTTGACAGTGGACTCCACCTTTCTGAAACCGTATGTTGTGTATGGTCAATTTTGTTCATGCAACTGATATTTACTGAGCACCTTGTAGGAGCCTGGCACTGTATTGAGTGGCATGAGCAGGGGGAGATGCCAGCCTTTTCTGTGGATCCGAAAATCCTTAACTGATTGTTACTGCCCTTCAAGTGTCTTTTGGTTAACAGAGAACATTGCATCTGTTTTTCTTTCACGGAGAGGAAGGAATTGCTATTGATTTTTTTGTTTTTTCTTTTCATGGCTTTGGAAGAAATTCAAACTAACTTCAGCTAATATCGCTTGTTCTTAGAAGAAACCTCACCAAAGCCCTGCTCTGAGTCAGCTGCTCAGACAGCAGCTGAGCATGCCAGGCCTAGACTGCGACCAGTTGTTCCAGAAAAGGGAGTTAGGGTCCACCTCGTTGACTACTTCAGAACGTTCCACCAGTTTCCTCCTGGTGTTTGTAGCGAACGTCTGTGCATGGCAGCTGTTCTTTTTTAACAACTGTCTGGCTCTATGTCTTGTAGCCCAGGGAGTTAGAAAATGCAAAGTATTCAAAATCTTCTGAGGTATCAACCCTTTCCTGTTTGAAGACAACTTTGGAAGCTGGTATGGAGAAGGCCTGAATGCCAAGGGGCCCATTCCTGGGGCTCCCACAGCAGCACATGCTGCAGGGAGAGGGGTCTTTCTCTGCACACAGACCTTGCCAAGATCTCTGCCAGAGCTGTGGCTGGGTGGGATGTGTCATGGAGCCAAAAGCAAAGCATCTGATGGCTTGGAAGTGCCTGCAGTGACTCAGGCCTGTGCACATCTGCTCTGCATCTCATGAAGACCAGGGCTTTGGGGGAAACAGTGAATTTTTCTTCTTCCCTTTAATTCTTTTCTTTATTAAAAAAAGTTTTCATTCTGCATTTGTTTTATTATTTCTAAAGACAGGGTCCTGGTCAGTCACCCAGGCTGGAGTGCAGGGGGACGCCATAGTAATAGCTCTCTGCAGCTTCAATCTCCTGGGCTCAGAGGTTCCTCTTGCCACAGCCTCCTGAGTAGATGGGGCTATAGGTGCCTGCCACCACACCTGCCTAATTATTTACTTCTTCTTATTATTATCAGAGATGAGTTCTCACTACATTGCCCAGGCTAGTCTCAAACTCCTGGGCTCAAGCGATACTCCTGCCTTGGCCTCCCAAAGTGCTGGGATTACAGGAATGAGCCACCGAGCCTGGCCAATTCCGCATTTAATGAATGCTCTTTCCCCTCTGTTTTTTAAAAATGGATGCTTGCCGGGCGCGGTGGCTCATGACTATAATCCCAGCACTTTGGGAGGCTGAGGCGGGTGGATGACTAGGTCAAGGGATCGAGACCATCCGGGTCAACATGGTGAAACCCCGTCTCTACTAAAAATACAAAAAATTATCTGGGCATGGTGGCTCATACCTGTAACCCCAGCTACTCAGGAGGCTGAGGCAGGAGAATTGATTGAACCCAGGAGGTGGAGGTTGCAGTGAGCCAAGATTGCACCATTGCACTGCAGCCTGGGTAACAAGAGCAAAACTCCATCTCAAAATAAATAAATAAATAAATGGGATGCTTTAGGCCAGGCATGGTGGCTCCAGCAATCTGGGATCCCATGTTGTGCATTTGATCTGAAGGACACCCATGACTCAAGGGGTAGTTAGGACCCTGGGTGTTTCCACAACCCTCAACCCATGTCTAGTAGTTGGAAATGTGCATACCTGTTTTGGAAAGCTGAGAGTCTTTTCACAGATGATTCTGGCGCTGGTGGGAGGGTCAGGGAATTCGTAGACTTGGGCAGTGGGGGGCTGGGGCCCCTCCACCCAACTCCTCATCTGCTCATAAACAGGGCCTGGAGTGGGAGGGTGGGGTAGAGTGGGCACCTGATAGGTCTCCTCTGAGCTGGCAGGAGCTTCTTCCAGGCCTCTCAGGAATGGGGGGCGTAGCCTGTCCGCAGCAACCTCCGTGAGGATTTGGAGGCGGTTGGCAGGGGCCAGGCCTTGCCTCCCGTGGAGCAAACACTTCCACCAGCCCTCGCTTTCTGGCACCTGTTGCTCCAGAATGGTCAGGATGTCCCCTCTGTTGAAAGCCAGCTCGTCGGAGCAGTCAGGGCAGTTGTCATAAAGTGCCCTGGCCAGGAGTGCCTGGGAGGAGAAGTGGGGAGAAGAGAATTTGCTGTTAGCACCATGGCCAGTGACCACTACACCAATCCCACTCACTTAGAAAGCTTAATGCAAATTCATAATGCCCTTTCATTTCATTTCTTCCACCCCAGAGGCTCTTGCCCCTGCTCTTTGCCTGATTTGTTCCTTCACATCCTTGCGGTCTAAGTGAAATGTCACATCCTCAGGGCAGACTTAACTGTATGCTGAGACAAGTTTGTGTGGTCCTAATACGGTTTTATGGCTCTGTTGTGTTTTTGTTTTTGAGACAGGGTCTCACTCTGTTGCCCAGGCAGGAGTGCAGTGGTGAAATCTTGGCTCACTGCAGTCTCAACCTCCCAAGCTCAGGCAATCCTCCCACTTCAGCCTCCCAACTAGCTGGGACTACACATGCGTGCCGCCACACCAGGCTGAATTCTGTATTTTTTGTAGAGAAGGGGTTTTGCCATTGCCCAGGCTGGTTTCCAACTGGATGGCCCTGTTTTAATTTGTGGAAACCATGACCCTTGTACTTATGTAGTTCAGTGAGCACATGGTTGGGTAGAAATTCCTACCTGTGTACCTTTGAGCAAATTAGCTACCCTATTTGAGCTTCAGTTTCCTCATCTGTAAAATGGTAATAATAGTAATACCTACCTCATGGGGTTACTGTGAGAATTAAATGGGTGGATATACGTACACATACTGTATATTATGGGTTGATATATATATGTACACCATATATATATCTGTTATATATATTTCAATCTATTATATATTGTGTATACATATGGGCATCTCTCTGTCAATTATTGGTGCCTGGCATTTAGTAAGCGCTTGGTACAGGCAGCTGTGACTGTCATTACTATTAGATTGCTTTTTGTCTGGTTTTTGCTATTTTCCTTCTGAACTGAATGGGCAGTTCCGTGACTGCTGGGCCCATATCTCACTTGGCTATTGTGTTCCCAGTGTCAGGCCCAGGTCCAGATACATAGAAGATGCTCAATAAATATTCATTAATAAGTGAATGACAAGAGGCTGGGCCTAGTGGTTCATGCCTGTAATCCCAGCACTTTGGGAGGCCGAGGAGGACAGATCACTTGAGGTCAAGAGTTCAAGACTAGCCTGGCCAAAATGGTGAAACCCCATCTCTACTAAAAATATTAAAAATTAGCTGGGCATGGTGGTGCATGCCTGTAGTCCCAGCTACTTTAGAGACTGAATCACTTGAACTCTGGAGACGGAGGTTGCAATGAGCTGAGATCACGCCACTGCACTCCAGCCTGGGCAACAGAGTGAGACTCCATCTAAAAAAAAAAAAAAAAAAAAGAAAAAAGAAAAAAGAAAAAGAAAAAGAAAAAAGAAAGAAAGAGAAAAAAGAAGAAAAAAACCTAGTGAATGACAAGAGATTCAGGGGGTTAGTAACCTGTCTGTAGTCACACAGCCAGGATCAAACCCAGTCTCCTAATTCTCCCACCCATGCTTTTTCAGTAAGTCACACAGTTCTAAAAAGAATCACCTTGTTACCATGGCAGTGATGGCCTAACCCCCTCCTTAATTGAACTTTCCACTGTAATTACATGAAGGCAACTTGTTTCCTTAGGTTTTAAAGTTATTACTTTCACCTCCTTTTTATAGATACCAATGCACACCATTTTTGGTATTTATCCTTCCAGTTGTTTTTTTAAAAATTTTTCTAATTAAATTTAATTACACCTTTTACACTCATTAACCCTTGTTGATACGGTTCTTAGAGCAAAAGTGACTAACTCTCCCATTCTGTTTGTTGAAAATTATTGTGCTTCTTGCATAATATTTCTTCTCTGTCACAAAAATGGAATTGGAAGACCAGTGCTGATAAATACCATCTTACCCAGACAAGCAGGTCTGTGTGGATTTGGGGAAACACTACTGCAAGTCTATCTAAAAAGGTAGAATCAGATCCTTCAAGCAGCCAAAGAGACACTGAACACGCCCCACAAAACCTAATACAGCAGAGATCCTAGGAGATCATGAACAAGTTCTGTAAACAAAACCTGTTGTTCTTTCTACAAAATAAAAGGTCACTAAAGAAAAAGTAGAAATAATAGTAACCAAACAGAGGAAAACAAAAGTGCCTGCAGTGCCACCACCACAGGTAAGTGCTGTTAACCCTTTGGTTTTTGATCTTTCTAGATCTTTTCTTTTGCATATTTGTTCACAACACACCTAGAGTCATCGTTATATTTGTAAAACCTAATGGCATAATATGATACACACTTTTGTAATCTGCCTTTTTTTCCTTACTTAAAAATAAAGTGTGAACATCTTTCCATGTCAATAAACATTTTTCTTCAGTATTCTTTACAACAGTGACACGGTTTTCCATTGTATGGATGAAGCATAATTTTTCTTCTTGGTTTTGGACATTCTAGCTAATTGCAGGCATTAGCTATTGCAAACAATGCTGAAATGATCATCTTTATAGCTAATATTGGGAACTCCCCTTATTTATTTCCATGGATAATCTTCTTCAGTGGGAAGTTGGCAGGTGGAAACCATTAGGGCTCTGGATGCTGTCACGTTGCCCTCCAGCAAAGTTTCAATCAATTCACACCTCCGCCCACTGTGAATAGACTGCACAGTTCCTTGTACCCTTATCTACCCTGTGCATTATTTCTGTGTTGGGTGATGTATTTGTTTAAAAACCTTTGTCAAGGAAACTTGAAATGTTTTCTAGCACATTCTTAGCAGCACCCAGACCACTCAAAACTACAGAATCAGCTGCAGCCCTCATGTTGCTGTGGGGATAACCTGCAGGCAACTCAGGGAATGTGTCACCTCCCTGCTGTTCCCCACTTTTTACTTTTACTCATTTTTTTTTAAAAAGAGAAAAGGTCCCAAAAGGAGTTAGGGCCATGTGTAGTGTAAAAGGCATCCCTGCCTGCAGAGATCTCCTCTCTTCTCCACGGTGAAGCAGAAATCCTCAAGTGAGAGGAAGATATGAAGCTATCACTTGTCTGAGCCCAGTGAATGTATGAGATTACACCGAAAAGCAGAGAGCTGAGCTGCAGCCGACGGACTCTGACCGCACTTCCTGGTGTCAGGGACCCCATGGGGTGTCTTCCTGGGTCAGCCAATTGTTCCTTCACAAATTCAGCAAATATTTATGGAATGTTTATGACATATGGCACTGTTGTCCTCCTCGAATTTTCAAGGGACATGAATTTTGATCATGCCACTCCCCTCTCTATCACCCTTCAATGGCTCCCTACTGCCTTTTGGGTGAAGCCCAAACTGCCCAGACCTTCAAGGCCCTATGTGATTTTGCCTCTTTCCATGCTTCTAGCCTCATAGGTATCACTTCCTCATTGACCCCTGGGATGCCACCCTTTCTGAGGGCTTGAGTCCATCACACATGCTATTCTCTCTACCCCAAAGCATTTAGCAGCTTTCCACCCAGCGAAATCCCCCACATCCTTCCAGATTCATCTGAAATGTCACTTCCTTAGAAAAAGGGCCCCTGAGACCCTCTAGACCAAACTAGTTCTCCCCATACTTCTGCTCAACACCTTTGCACATCAGTACTTATCACATTAGGGTTCAACTCATCTAGGATCTGTCTCCCCACAAGAACGTAAGCTCTGGGAGAGTGAAGGCCACACCCTTCTGCATCCCACACTCTAGCACAGGGTACGGGATCTTTGGCTACTTGTTGAGTTAGTGAATGAAAGGGAGGCGTGACATAACACCCCCATTTTTGTCTTTAAGAGGTAAAAAGTCACAAACACCAAGATGAGCACTCCTATTTCTGTCTGGAGTAGGGTAAGAGGGAAGCTTTTGGGGACCCTGCCCACGCTTTTGGATAATCTTCGGTAAGAATGACCACCAGCATATCCAGAAGATAAACCTCAAAGCATAACTAGTCTGCACATGGAATCATTATCCCTTGAATGTGTTGGGAGTGGGTTTCACAAGACTGTGGGTGCTGAGCTTGGCGAATCCAGCAGTGATAAAGTATTTAAGGGAATAGAGTTTTGGAGTCTTGTAAAGAGTATTGATCAAAGGTCAAGACTTAGGCCTTGCATGATAGCGCATGCCTGGAATCCCAGCACTTTGGGAGGCGGAGGCATGCAGATGACTTGAAGCCAGCAGTGCTGGGCCAGCCCGGCCAACGCAGTGAAACCCTGTTCTACCAAAAAATACAAAAATTGTCCAGCATGGTGGTGCATGCTTATAGTCCCAGCTCCTGGGGAGGCTGAGGTGGAAGGATGGCTTGAGCCCAGGAGGTGGAGGTTGCAGTGAGCTGAGATTGTGCCACTGCACTACAGCCTGGGTGATGGAGTGAGACCCTGTCTCAAAAAAAAAAAAAAAAAAAAAAAAAACCTGATGAAAGTTACATGCTACTTTGTAGATTGTTTTCCAGTTAAATAGGCAAATAATTGCTGTTCAGTAAAAACCGATAATCTGAAAGGTTATGGTTCATTACCTTGTAGGACTTAAATCAGTTTCATATTTAGCCTTGCAATCACACTCTAATATTCCTTAATTAAATTGCCTATACCTACCTAGTGCCTCAATGACCTCTTTTTAAAAATAAATGTATTCAAATCAGACAAGTATCCTCAATGATCTTTGACTTAGTTTTAACGTTTCATTGATTCCCTATTAATCCATCAAAATTGAAATCTTTGACATGAGTTCATTTTATATTTGCATGAGAGTCATCATTCTGCCTTTTTGAAACTTGTACTTTAACCATCCACATTGGGGGGAAAAAAGCGAAAATAAAAGCCTGTAATGAAACACATTATGGTATATTTCATTGTAATTCCCATGAAATACATTTAAATCAATCTTTAAAAACCCACCATCTGAAATGTGCTTGCATTTGTCTAGAAATAAGATAGTGCGTATCTTTAGACAGAGCAGTTGTTACAGTATGGCAGCTGCTCTGAAGATTGGATGCGGCTTAGCTGGTAGATTTGCTTATGGTGAAAGCAAGGGCTTTTTCCAGAGAACAA